TTTTTTTTTTTTTTTTTTTTTTTTTTCTTTTAATCTAACAATTATATGTATATTTATTTATTCTTATACAAATTTAAATTATATTGAGGAATTGTGTGTATTTATCTTCCTTTGTGATGTGGATAATGTGGTGTAAAAAAGTGAAGAGTAGACATTATTGAAAGATGTTTATTAAATAAAAGATTTCACCCACAACATGATAACTTATAACTTAGGGATTTCTTATCCTCGTATTGTCGTCTAATGCTTCTGCCTTCTTTTCTTGTACAAAAAAAATAATAATAAAAAAATTAAATAAAAGATTTAATTTCAGAAATAAATGATATGAGACTCGGGAAAAAGCAAACATATATATCTCAGCTGTGCCAGTCTGAATTAGGTTTCATTTGGGTTTGTGCACTTGGGATTTTTATTGAAAAAAAAAAATATCATCTCATTAAAAATAGAGATAAAAAAAAGTACAAAATAATATTTTAATTATATTCATTTGAAATTGTGATGTATATAAGATAAAACTGTAATAATAAAATTGTTGTGATATAAAAAATGATGGAATGGAATTTTAATTGATATTATAGGTAATTAAAAATAATATGAGAGTGAATTCAATTAGTTGTATTGTATAAAAAATTAAATAATATATTTTAATTTTTTTTTTTCATAAATGAAATATATATTGAAACGACGTCGTATGTTGAGCTTGTCGATTTCATTTGACTCATAAACTCCGTCTCTCTCCCTCTCCATTTCTTCGCATATCGACAGCTCTAGAGATTTCTCTCGGTATGTAAATGCTTCCTTGTACGACGACGTTCTGATCTCTGTTTCATGTTTCTTAATCAATCATTAAGCTCTCGATTTCCATATTAATGTGTCTGAGATGTCATTTTTGCTCGGACAGTCGGATATTAGGGTTTCAATTTCATGAGCGTTTGAGCTGTCGCATTTTATACCTAATTTGATTTGTGAGCTTTGGTCTGGCACGAAAGATTGCCGACCGAGATGCCTGTTTGTTCAAGACTTTATCTTGTGTGTACTTTGGTACTGAAGTAGCATTAGGAGTGGTTTTTCTGTTCGTTGTTCTAACATTTGGGGATTAATTGTTGGCTGATTCTAAAATGGGATCTTTTGACCTTGGTTGGGTTGAATTGTTGATTTGATACTTAGTACGCGCCTCTTTTTTGTGATTCCTAATCGAACGTCTCACTGGATCGTAAAAGGTTTAAATTGTGTTCTTATGTAATTTGATCTAACTGATGTTGTTTGGTAGTGGTGAAGAGTTGTTTGTTGTCGTTATTCATGGTATGTAAACAAAAGTTGATATCAATGTATATGTCTTGCTATGAAAGTAGTTAACTTGTTGGAAATGAAGAAATGGAGATAAACAGCAAAGCTTACGGAACATCTATGCTATGGACAGATGGCATAAGGAATTTAGGGGATTGTATACATTTAAGGGAACTTTTAAGATCACTATTTATTGAAAATTAAATAGTTTTCTGCAAATTTTTTATGGTTCTTTGTTTATATTTTTAGCTATTCAGTTTTTGCAAGTTCTTTGCGCTTTTTGATAAATTTTTTAAATTTATTTTTACTTTAGAATCTAGTTTGAGAGGATTATTATGACGCTTAACCATTTGATTGGTTTATGCCTCATATACTTTTTAAAATTAACATTAGTTTGTATTTTTTTGCAGTTTACCAAGATTTCATCCACCTGAAACGGACACGATGGCTGCGTCCAGCAGCAGCAGCAGCCGAGAAGGATCAGCAAAATCAACAGTGGCGGATCAGATATCTCAGTCCATACAATCCACCTCCAATATCCTTCACCTCATGCGCCAGTCATCCCCGTCCCACGTCAGTCTCTCTCTTTCCTCTGCTGAAGTTGGTTATACTATGAAGCGTGAAATTAATATTTTTTGCACTTAGTCATGTCATAGGGTTTTTTTTAAAGAGGATCAAGAGTGGTTCCCCACTTACCCCCTGGGGACTCGAACTCGAGACCTAATAGTCCCAAGTGAAGGGTGCTACCAACTGAACTACCTCTTCTCATCTAATCATGTCATAGGGTTACTGAGATTAATTGCTTTTCTTCTTGTTGTCATTGTTTTGGATTAAGGCCGTATACCATTTGAGCAAGTTTTCCTGGAGGGGTTAGAACGTAAGAAGCAAATATCATAAGCATAAAATCACAAGGCTAAGATTAATATGATTAGTTCGCAATTTCCACCTTAGTGGAAAATATTTGAGTTACATTTATTGTTTAAATAATCATGTGCTAATTTGCTCTGTTTCTTTGTTGTAATGCTTTGGATATTCAAGTATTAACTTATAATCTGTTGATCTGTGTAATGATGTCCTTGCAGTCCCAGCTATTGAAGCTTCCGAAAAACCTTCTAGCGAAGACCTCGACAATAAAAAATACGGAGATGGTGATTGATATCCTAGATCTTGTTGTAAAAGTAATCTAAATAATAGGAAGAAAAAAAAAGCTAATGAAAAATTCGCAAGTTTTGATGCAGGTACTGGAGCAGATGCCTCAAGTGATTTCGGCACTAGATGAACACGTGGAAAATGGGTTGCGGAGGTTGTACCTGATTATTTTCGCATAAAATATTTTGTCGCCTTATCTTTTTTTCGGTATATATATCTGCCATTGCCCCTGAGGCCTGAAGATCATATAAAGGGAAACGAGCTAGTTTGAGTTGAAAGAAACCCAAAGATGTATGAAGCTTGCGCTACCTTATTAGTTTCGACCAATCAACTGAAGAAGTATCTATTAAGCTAGCTGTTGATGATACGAATAGGCTTGTGTTTATTGCCGGCCATTTTGACTTCTAGAGTAAAAAAAAAAGGAAGTTAGAAAGTCTGGTATAAAAATTGTTTTCTCTTCTTACTTGTTTGTTATTCACATGTCTTGGTTTCATTTTCTCAACTTGGTATGCTTGAAACTTTTGCAGCGTGCCTCAACTCAACACTGTAGTTCAACTGCTTTCAAACATGCAAAGTTCTCAACTTAAGTCTCTCTCCTCAGCTCAGCTCAGCTCACTCAACAAGTACTTAACTATCTCCATCTCCGATTATCTCTCATTCTTTTCCTTGCACCTCTTTTATTTAGTTCTTGTTCATTTTTAAACTTGCCTACTAATACGTACTTCAGTACTTGCGTAATGGTTTACTAACCGTGTCTTATTCTTTTAGCAGGAGGCCCGGCTTTCTGAACAACAACAACCAAGTTGAACCATTGCCCTTTCAAAGTTCCTAAAACGCCACTGACCCAGTAAATTCATTTGAGGAGAAACTTTGATGCAGCTGTTGCCATTAGATTTTACTCTTAATTTTGATATTTCCATAATTTTGGATGCACCTGTGATGTGTGTGTATTACAACTGATGTTTTTATTTTTTTTTATTTTTCGCACAAAGTGTTGCAAACAAGTGGGAGGTGAGGCTTGTGAGTACATTGTTATGAGGACTATATGCTGGATATCATTACACTGTAAATTGTTGACTCGTTCGAATATGTAAGTTTAAATGAAAATGAACTTTAACTATATAGGTTAAAATAGGTTATTGAGAGTATTTTTTGTGATTTGCAGGCATTGGATGTTGGAGAAGAGCCATATTCAATTGAGGAGATCGAGGATTTATAGTAACTTCATTAGGAAAATGTAATAAACCTTACTTACATTTGGTTTATTGTTGGTATTAGGATGATTTTTGAGAAATATTGTTGTTACTTAAGAACATTGATAATATTTGGCACGTATGATTGTTAATTTGTCATTTCTATTGTCTTTTTTTTTTTAATTCTTAGATCAAATTATTTTATATTCACATGTATATTAAATAAAGTATTATAGTTCAGCTTGATAAATATTAAATACATTTATACATCAACTAATAAAGCACAGCCTGACTGACATAAATGGATCCACATCTGGTGTTAAAAGCCGAAGCAAATAAGCTCTGTGTGCATATTGTCAGACTCCCTTAACGTCCTGAGTTTTGGTATGAAAGAAAAAACTGAAGCAACATCTCCAAATGTACTGTCAAAAAATAATACACTTCACAAAGGACACCTAATAATTTCCAATCTCTTTCAGCATCTCCACCACATCTTTCATCTTCGGGCGTTTGGCTGGCGTGTTATCCGTGCAGAGCAATGCAACTTTGAGTGCAGCCAGCATATCTTTTCTCCAGCCGAACGACACTGTGCTCAGCCTCGGATCAAGAATCTGCTCCGGTGTCTCCCCTCTTGTGGGTGCACCATGCACCCACTTCACCAGATCAATCCCTTCCCCAAATGCCTCGTCAACTGGCAGCCGTGTTGTGAGGATCTCGAGCAAAACAACTCCATAGCTGTATACATTGCCCGGTGCCGTAACTTGCATAGTGTAAGCATATTCTGTAAAAATCAAATGAGACCAAGTTAAAAAATGAAGTGTAACTTGCATAGTGTAAGCATATTCTGTAAAAATCAAATGAGACCAAGTTAAAAAATGAAGTATAACTTATTTTCGCGAGATGAAAAAAAAAAATCTATCTACCTGGAGGCATATATCCGAAAGAACCAGCTACGGCGCTTATACTCGCAGTTCCTCTAGAAGGGTCTAGAAGCTTCGAGACCTCGACCTCGCCCAATAAAGGATTAAAACTCGAGTCCAAAACCAGATTGCCCGACGAGATATCGAGATGGATAATCGCCACATTGTGTAGAAAAGCCAGGCCTTCAGCTACCCCAATAGCAATCGCAAGCCTCACCGGCCAGTCAGGCTTGTAATCGGGATTTCCAGCCGAGTCGTGGAGAAACTGGGCCAAGGTCCCATTTGGATAATACTGATGCAACAATAGCACAACATCGTCCTCGAACAGAACAAAACCGATCGGCCTCATCAAGTTATCGTGACGAAGCTTGCTCAGCTTCTCCACCTCTCTAATCATCTTGCTTTGGTGGTTAAGTACGGTTTTATGAACCATCGGTTTCAGTTTTCGAACCGATAAAATCACCCCGGACGGCATATCTGCCTTATAAACGACGCTAAACGTGCCGACACTCAATTTACTCGATTCCTTCATGGTAGCCTTAGCAACTGCCTCAAAATCGATAGCTTGCTTAAGGCTCTCGACAAAAATATCTCCAGCTATTATTTTCGGGTCCTCGTTAATTTCCTCTTCGACCATTTTGGCCTCTTTCGCAGCTTTCTCCTGTTTCTCTCTCATCATGAAAAGCCAAACAACTACACTCACAGATGCAAACACAGCTAAACCTGAACCGATAACAGTCAACACAATCTTGTAAGATACCTTATGGTGGTAAGAATAATAACCACTATTAAAATCGTTCGAATTCCCACAAGAAACGGTCAACGGCTCACCACATAGAGCTTTATTCCCGATAAAGCTCGAGTTCGGGCTCTTCTGAAATGGGACGAAATTGGGTATGGGCCCGGTTAACCGGTTGTTCGAGAAGTTTACCTCGATTAAACTCAGCATACCCCGGAAAGTACTCGGTATATTCCCGGTAAGCTGATTCGCCGACAAGTCTAAAGCAACAAGCTTGTCGAGCCTGCCCAGCTCTTCGGGCAGCTGCCCGTTAAGACGGTTGAAGCTCAAATTCAAAGCAATCTGCAAGTTTTTTATATGGCCGATCTCGGGCGGGATGCTCCCGCTCAAACGATTACTCCCCAGCTGCAATTCCAGCAGTTTCGTGCAGTTACCAATCTCGTGCGGGATTTCACCTTCCAACGAGTTGTGCTCTAAAAGCAGGAACTGCAATCGAGACACATTGCAGATACTGGCCGGTATAGTGCCGTTAAATCGGTTATAGCTTAAATCGAGCTTATTCAGACTTCTCACTCTAAGAACCGATACTGGCATTTCTCCAAAGAGATCATTATCAGAAACAATTAACTCTTGCAGATTACTCAACAAGCCAAACTCCGACGGCACGGTTCCATTAAACCGGTTTGAGGCCAAATTAAGGAGGGTGAGGTTCGTGCATTTGGAAAAATCGGGCACGATCTCTCCATAAAGGCCGTTTTCATTCGCCTCGAAATACGTGAGGCCGCTGATGTCACCAATCTCCTTAGGTATGAGCCCACTTAGGTTGTTATTACCTATTCGGATACTCGACAGGGTCTTGCATTTGCCGATTGATTTAGGAATGTAGCCGTTTAATCTGTTCTGTGTAAGGACTAAAGTCTCGAGCTTCTGCATAGAGAAAATGCTTTCAGGGATTGGGCCTTCTAACTCATTCGAGTGAAGGTTCAACAGCTGAAGCTCACTGTGCAAGCCCAACTCATCAGGGATGAAGCCAGTCAAGTCATTTTCGTAGGCGGTGAAAATTCTCAGGCCGGTCAAGCTGCCAACCCATGAAGGGATTGTGGCATTCAGCCTGTTTGTGAAGAGCTGCAAAGATTCTAGCTTCTTCAAGCTCTCGAGCTCTTTCGGTATATCACCGGTGAGAAAGTTACCGGAAAGGTTCAAAGCTCTGAGATTCTTGAGCTTTGAGAATTCCAAAGGAATTGGGCCATCGAAACTGTTGAACGACAAATCGAGAAACTCGAGCTCGGACAGCTCGGCGAGAGCTGGTGGGATCAAGCCATTGAAATTGTTGAACGATAGGTCGAGAGATTTTAAGGATTTGAGCTGGGAGATTAAGGTTAAATTGCCTCGCAAGCCTTGGTTGGAGAGATCAAGAGCCTCAACTAATGAGTTATTGCAAGAAATGCCAGGCAGGATGCAAAAATCCGAGGTGTTTTGAGCACTCCATTTAGAAACATGAAACTCTGTCTGAATTTGAAGCAATGTGAGCCCCTGATCACTATCTACCATTTGGGTCATCACAAGTTGGGACCTTGAGAGCAGCACATAAAGCAAAATACTGAACAAACTAAAAAATGGCATCTTTTTTTTTTCAAGTTTTTCCAAATTTTGATCAAAAAATCAAGAGAATTTAGCTGTAATTTGCTGAAAAGGCACAAATGGGTTGCAGCTCAAGGTGTTTGATCAACAGAGACTCTTGGGATTTTGCAGCAAAGGTGAAAAGCAGCAATCTTGGTAGAAAAGAACAAAAGTTCACACAGCATAAATGCTGGAGAACAGAGGAATGCACAGAGGAAATACAGGAAGAATGGACATTATAATTATAAAGGGAAATGCTACAGTCCCTTTACGAACCATTCTGTCGGGATTTATAAACGTTACATCATTATGTAACCGTCGTGCATAATTAATCTAACGGTTATAAACTCCGATGGAAGATCGGAGTCCAATGTTTTAGGTTTTAACTGGTTTATGGTTTTGGGACCAGTGAGAGTTAAGATATTAATATTTGTCTATTAATGGATTTTCTTGACATTATTTTCTGATATAATATATGTATATTTTTTTTTAAAAAATTATTATATTATGATTATGGGTGCAATTGAATATATTTCTTTCTAGCTTTTTTCACAGTTTGTAATTATAGAGATTGATTCTTGATATATATTCTTATTATCATGAGTTTGCTCTGATTGGCAGCCTTGGACATGATTAGTGATGATGAGTTTGGAATAATTGAGGGGAGTCTCAAGGCGTGATATTTGCATAAATTAATTCGGTCTATGCATGGCTTTCCTAATGATGATGTTGGCAACAACCTTTTTTTTTAATGGAAATACTACGTTAACATGTAACGGTCAGAAATAATTGATCTAACGGTTACAGAACCCGACAGAATGGTTCCGTAACGAAATCATAACATCTCTTTTTTTTTTCTTTAACATATTCAAAAGATCATCCCCTTCTTCTTTTTCCCCTGTTGCTTTTGTGGCTAATTGCTTTAAATATCTACAAATTCAACTAGAAGATATCGCTGTTTATCATGGAAAATTGCATTACAACAAACAATTGGAGAATTAGACCCTTTATGCATATCACACACTTTGTCTTATACTCTTATTAGTCGTTTGCACGTACTTGTATATATAAACATTAGAAATTAAATGCGAGTAAGATCGAATTCATAAAAAAATTATGGGCATTAAATTTATACTTCATATATCTAGCAAAATTATACCTTGAAGATATAAACAAATTATGGATCTTTATTATAAATGTGTTGCCAAGACACACCATTCAAATCCAAAGCATTTGAAATAGGATTATATTTTAGATTGACCAATCTTATATAACTTAAGATCCAAAATATTTGTGTTTAAGTTGTACTCCCTCCTGTTCATAACATATGTGTCGTTTTATATTGTCATCAATAGATAAAACGACACATATTAAGATTGACCAATCTTACATTGACCATATTTTTTTACATAATGTGTGTTAATTGGATGATTTCTGCACAGGTGGAAACCCTTTAATTGATTTCTGTTGGGCCTCCAATGAAAAGGTTTTCTGCCTGCCATCTTTGTGTAGTGGAAAACATCTTAGGGTTAACTTGAGATTAACATCAATCAAGCATTTGATAATATAAAATATAATGAAGCATATCTTAGTCGGCAAAATTTCATTTTTGGTCCATTATATTGGTCATTTTCCGAAAATGGTCCACTAATTTGGCAGAAATCAAACTTGATACAATAAGTTATAAAATTCATCATTTTTGGTCCATAAGCCTACGTGGCATTTTATCGGGCGAATACGTGGACAAGTTTGATGGCCGCCACGTATGCTCGTTATCCAGCCCGAGTGATTAATGGACCAAAAATGATGAATTTTACAATTTAGTGTATCAAATTTGATGTCCACCAAACTAGTGGACTATTTCTGGAAAATGGCCAATATAATGGACCAAAAATAAAATTTTACCTATCTTAGCCTGTCCTTCATAAATCCCATCCTTTTCTCTCTCTCTCTCTCT